AATCGAGCACAGGTAGCCAGAAGGGACGCAATCACAAGGGCCCGGGGAGGTGGTCGAATTGGAACCAGGCGGGCAGCAGAAGAAGATGAGCACACCGTTGTTAGGGGTGAGCAAGGTGGACTGATCATTCACTCGTCAAGAGTTTTTGCGGGTGAGTTGATTGGGGACCTGCCGTCACCCGTTTGGCAGCATACCAAAGAACACCACGCCGATCCTCCAGAACGGGTGGATGCAGAGGGCGATGTGGTGATGGCCCTCGGCTCGACTCAGGACGCGAGTGGTGGAGGAGAGGAGGCCAGTCTTGGCCTTTGAGGTTCTTTTTTGTTTACCTTTTGTGTTTTGTCTTTTGTTATTGTGTTTCTGTGGGCTTTCTGGTTTTTTTTTTTTTTCTCTTCTTCCCATTTTTGTTTTATGGATCTTATGCTCTGGAACTGTCAAGGGGCGAGTGGAAAGCCATTCCATCGCGCCCTTAAATTCCTTTTGCAGGTTTATAAGCCTAGCGTTCTTGGATTATTCGAGCCAAAAGTTTCGGGAGCACAGGCAAATAAAATCTGCTCTATGTTCGGGTTCTCGGATTGGGTTCGAGTGGAGGTTGTGGGCTTCAGTGGAGGCATCTGGGTTTTATGGAAAGACCCGATCCATATCTCGGTTCTTTTTACTCACCCGCAATTCATTCTTTTGCAGGTCACTCAAAGCGGCCAACTACCCTGGGTATTCGCTCCGGTGTATGGAAGCCCAGCTCACAATCTTAGACGCAGACTTTGGCAAGATTTGTCACAATCCAAAAGGGGCCCGCGAGGACCCTGGCTCGTGGCTGGTGACTTCAATTCGGTCACCTCTAAGGATGAGACGGCAAATTACAGGTCCTTCTCGTCCCAAAGAAGCGCGGATTTCGTCACCTGGATCCAGGATGAGGGCCTGATTGACCTGGGGTATACGGGGCCTAACCTGACATGGGTTAAAGACGGGTCGAGTGACCAAATCAAAGGAGCCCGTCTAGACCGAGCTTTGTGTAATACTGAATGGCGAGTCAATTTCCCGGATGCGGCGGTGAAGCATTTGCCAAGGGTTGCATCGGATCATGCCCCACTATTAATACGGTTACTTGGGGACCGCAAGGAAAATCCTTCTAATTTGTCTCGTTTTCAATTTCAGGCTGCTTGGCTCACTAATCAGGGACTAACTTCGCTAGTGCAGCAAACTTGTAAGAGTGACGTCAGCTTGCATGTAAATGTTCGGAAGATGGCTCACGATCTTAACTCTTGGAATAGGGAGGTGTTTGGAAACATTTTTAAACGAAAGAAACAATTGCTGGCTAGAATTGAAGGTATCCAGAGGGCACGAGATTTAAATCCCCGTAATGGGCTGGGACACTTGGAAAAGAAATTAAGGAATGAGCTGGAAAACACCCTACACCAGGAGGAGCTAATATGGTTCCAACGGTCCAGAGAAGAATGGATAACTTCAGGGGACAGAAACACAGCCTACTATCATGCGGCTGCTACAATTCGCAAGTCACGCGCTAGGGTGTCCGGGCTTAGGGACGACAATGGAAATTGGCTCCGGGAGGGGCCAGGTCTACGGGATCACGTCAGGGATTTCTTTATCAATCTTTTCACTAAGTCCACGACGAGTCAGGATGAACCAAGTAATGAGCATCGATTTCCTAGCCTCAGGCGTGCAGTCTGGATGGTTTTTAACAGACCTGTCACTAAGGAGGAGGTGTACCAAGCGGTCTTTGATATGAAACCTTTTAAAGCACCGGGCCCGGATGGTTTGCCAGCAGGCTTTTATCAGCATATGTGGGACATAACCGGTGACAGCGTTTTTAACATGGTCAGGGAGGCCATACACACTGGTGGCCTCCCCGAAGGCATAAACGATACTCTAGTGACGCTTATTCCAAAAGTCCGGGGTCCTGATTCGATCAAGTAGTTTCGACCTATCAGTCTTTGTAATGTAAGTTATAAAATTTTGACTAAGACTATTACTAATCGTTTAAAAAATGTTTTGCCACAGGTGATTGGCCCGCAACAAAGTTCGTTTGTCGCAGGACGGCAAATCTCAGACAACATTATAGTGTACCAGGAAATTATGCACTCAATGCGGGAAGCCTTTGGCAAAAAGGGGTTCATGGTTTTAAAACTAGATTTGGAGAAAGCATATGACAGATTATCTTGGAATTTTATTCGGAGTACTCTGGTACACGCAGGTTTTAATTCCAATTGGGTTAATATTATTATGACTTGTGTTACTACCTCTAAGCTTGCAGTTCTTTGGAATGGAGAACGCCTCGACCAGTTCACACCTGAGAGAGGCATTAGGCAGGGAGACGCTATGTCCCCAGCTCTTTTCGTTTTGTGCATGGAACGGCTAAGTCACCTAATCCTAGCGGAAGTGGACAGACGAAACTGGAAAGGCATTCAGCTGGCACCAGACGGACCAATCCTGTCGCACCTCTGTTTTGCTGACGACATGGTTCTGTTTACCGAGGCTTCTGAAGAACAAGTCGAGGTTGTTCAAAATTGCCTTCAGACTTTTTGCAGAATGTCAGGACAGAAAATCAGCCTTAGTAAATCACAAGTTCTTTTCTCCAAAAACACTCCGACTGATTTGGCAGCCAGGATTGCGAGCAAGCTTGGCATTGCGGAGACGAAGGATTTGGGGCGCTATCTAGGTGTACCTTCCCTTCATGGGCGTATCACCTGTAACACGTTTGCAGGCCTCTTGGAACGGATATCCAGCAGATTGGAAGGGTGGAAAGCTAAAACGCTGACCCTAGCCGGGAGAATCACTTTGGCGAAGTCCGTTTTAAATGCAATCCCGGTTTATACCATGCAGACGGTAGCACTTCCGAAAGGTGTCTGCGAGGAAATTGAGAAAAGAACCAGACGGTTCATCTGGGGTAGTAATGAACAAACAGGTGGTAGCAGAATGAGCTTGGTTAGCTGGGATTTGGTTACTACGAGGAAAGCTAATGGAGGACTTTGGCCTAAGGAAATTGCATGCCATGAACGTAGCTTGCATGGTCAAGCTTTGTTGGCGATATCAAACGGAGCCTTCTGCTTTGTGGACTAGAACCCTGGCGGCCAAGTACAAGCATAGGGTCAGCGCTACCATGGACATCATGAGTCGAAGAAGCATCTCAAACTTATGGCGTGGCATGTGCGGCGCTAATAGTATCCTGGAAAACGGTGTCACGAGAATTGTTAGAGATGGAGGATTGACAAAGTTCTGGGTGGATAAGTGGCTGACAAGCTATCCTTTATACGAAAAAACGCTCCACCCGTTGAGCCTCCCGGAGTTGTATGCAAATGTTGAAAACTACTGGGATCACACCACCGGATGGAAATGGGAGAAAATCGACCAGCTCCTGCCGCGGGATGATCGAAATCGTCTCGCTGGTTTTGAATTGGCAGAACCCGGCATCCGGGATGAATGGGGTTGGGGACCGGATCCTCAGGGTCGGTTTTCGGTAAGATCTGCGTAAGCGATGATTGATCCTTCTCATGCGGAGGGTACTGACCGAATGTGGAAAGCCATTTGGACCTTGCGGGTGCCGGCTAAAATTATTGTTTTTGTCTGGCTTGTTCAACATGGAAAGATCCTAACGAATGTTGAATGGGCAAGACGTCACCTTACGACTAATGATATTTGCTCTCGTTGTGCAGGTAAGAAGGAGACTTTGAGACACCTCTTCAGAGAATGTGCCGCTGCTCGACCAATCTGGGAGAATGCTTTACACTGGACGACACGGGAGAACCTTCGAACCTTGCAATGGGAAGAGTGGCTCGCAGTCAACATCCGAGGAAGCATAAAAGACGGATTTCCGGATGATTGGCCTGAAAAGTTTGGGATCAGGCTATGGTGGATATGGTAATGGCGAAATGAAGCGGTCTTCAACGAGATCAATACTGGGGTCGACCAAAAAGTGCAATGGATGCATCAGTATGATCAGGAGATCCTTGGGGCGTTTGAAAAGAAGAAGATGTCGCAGAAAGGTCAAAGTAACTATGTTGATGCTTGCGTATCTTGGAAGAAGCCGGCGGTAGGTTGGTATAAATTAAATGTTGATGGCAGTTGCAAACGTTCGGGATCAGCGACTTGTGGCGGGGTTCTACGTGATGTTCATGGAGATTGGTGTCGGGCTTTCTCTTTCAAGATCGGAAGCTGTTCGGTTGAAGCCGCGGAGGCTTGGGGTGTGGTGCAAGGACTTCGGATGGCCAAAGCATATGGTGCCATGAGGATCATAGTCGAGTGTGACTCGAAATCCTTGGTGGAAAGCCTACGCGCAGAGGAGGGTTGGCGATGCCAAAATCACAATATTGGCAGGTTGTGTGTACGGGAGGCTTCTAGCTTTTTGGAAGTTCAGTACGTGCACGTCTTTAGAGAGCAAAACCGTGTAGCTGATAAACTTGCAGCGATGGGAGAGCTGGGCGAAGATGGGCTGCGTTTCTATGAGACTCCTCCACATCAGATCATGGAGCTAGTAAATCTGGACAAATTAGGGGCGACCTCAACACGTAGGATTCATAGGGCTACTTACGCCCATAGGATAGTTTGATCTTTCTCTTCGGGTATCCCCCGCCTTCTCGGATATAAAAAAATAATAATCTGTTAAATGTAAATACATAATATGTTAACTGCATGTAAATAATTTGAACATAATTCACCATAGGCGTGATGGACCTTATTCCATCGCATAACTATTCGGTAAGACTAGACAAATTTGAGGCGCATATTTCGCAATCCAACCCATAGCCTGTCGTGGGGGGTAGACAAGAATTGGACATTTTTGTGCAGCTAATGCCAAAATAGCTCACGCGATTTGGACAACCACTGACCACGTCAACTGTTGAGTCGGGTAAAACTGCAAGCTAATGTTGATAATTGCCTCTTTAATTTGTCGCATTCTGATCTACACGGCAACCTTAATTAGCTTAATCGATGTTACTTTTTTGCTATAAATAGGTAACACATTGAGAGCATATATGCATTCTCATCAGTCATCAAATACTATATTATATCTCCAATATAATGGCCCTTTTCAGATTGGTTGTTGTTGCAGCCCTTTTCCTGTTGGGGGCTTGGGCATCTCAAGCCACTGCCTATAATAATTATGGTAAGTTCAGACCGGAGAAGAGGTTACCGAAAAGCTCTGGCAATTCCAACAATGGTGGAACTCCGCCGACCCAAGTGACTGATGGATCCTTTACTTTCAATCCGAATGTAGTGGACACCACAAACAAGGTTGTTGAGACGACGACTGAAGCTATGGCCGAACCTCCTCAATTTTCTGGAACCTGCGGTAACTATATCTTAACAATCACACACTTTCCTACTTTCCGTGCATTCATGTAGTAGTTTCAATGCATTCATGAAGAACTTATCGTGCATTACTAAAGAAGTCCACATGTTTAAATGTTCTCAAGAGATGCTCTCACCTAAACGCGACCATATATATAATCAGGTAGTGCTTTGCGTACACAGTCAAACATTTTTAAATGCACAATCCTAATTACATAAAATTACAGAAATGTGATTTTTTTCTTTTTCATTGATTTTCAAGTCTTTGGTATAATTGGACATATTAGATTTGTATACTGATTATATTTCACCTAAGAAGGTGTCTTCGATCATGTGAACCTGGTACGTTATATATATATAGATGACTAATATATACCTCCGGCAATGTACAGATGGAAATCAGAGAGCTTTTGGGGGCTGGTTAGCGGTCATAATCACTGCAGTATCGCTCTATTATCATCAATTCCTCTGATGAATTATCCTCATACTTGCATGGGTTCTTCTCCTGCTTAATTGAAACCATATTGGAAGCAATAATTTGTCCTAAATGTTCCTATTTCTCAAATTTTAATTTTATGTTGTATGGTCTCTACATTTTAATCCATCTATTGTAGTCAACATTGTACCATCGATCAGTTAGTGGAGCTGAATAAACTACCAGTCGTTTTATAAGTTTTTGGTTAATTTCGTTGTCAACGATTGCAGTTAATGGAGAGTAATGATATTTTCATTGTCTGGTTATAATCTTTACAATACAAGAGGTGATATATACACTTGTCTAACCATTCTAAGTTCTAACGTTCCCTAACTATAATAGTAATTAACAATTAATTACCACTAATTAAACACCCTAGTTAATTACTTGGGTGCAACTTTTGAAAATTAAGGTAGCACTCCACTTTTGTTATATATATTACTTTATAGAGCCAGCTCAGCCACGCAGCCGTATTAATTAATAACAAGAAGTTGCATGAACCAATAATTGCAAGAGAATTGTGGGCAAAGACTTCTGTAGAATATATATAAGTCGTCGATGAGACTTGAGAGGACTAAATAGTCAATACTTTTGTCGCATTCTACGCGGCAAGCTTGATGTTACTTAAATTTTGAAGCATTTTCTTCAAGGAAAATAATGAATCTTATATATATATATATATATATATATATATATATATATATATATATATATAATTTGACTCCCAAAAATTAGGGGCCCTATGAGGCAAACTATATCGTGCACTACGATGCATAATCGATTATGCACCGCGCGTCAGACACTACAATGTGTTTAAACCCACACTGTCAAAAAGACGTCGTTTTATTTAATAAAAAGAAATAGAATCTTCGCAAAAAATAACTCTGTTTTTCAGTTTCATTTTGTATACACTGCAGTTTCAGTTCAACACAACTACAATTTCATTTCGATATAACTACAGTTTCATTCAATATTTATACACTCAAATATGTGAAAATGTTATTTAATTTTATTTTATATACACTATAATTTCATTAAAACACAACTACATGATTATTTGAATATAATTACAGTTTCATTGTACAATATACACTCAAATATGTGAAATGTTATTCAGTTTTATTTTTATATATACTGTAGTTTCATTTCACCACAACTACAGTATCATTTTGATATAACTGTAGTTTCATTTGATAATATAAATATAATACGTGAGCCAATGTCAATTTAGACACACTGTAGTGTCTGACGCGCGGTGCATAATTGATTATGCACCGCGGTGCACGATACAACGACTCGCCCTATGATGTCCCCTAGACCGTACATGGCCAATGTTGGCCTATCCATGTTTGAGCGCCATGAAGCGCGAATGGTTCGTAATGGCTGTTCATACAAAGATAACGTTAGCTTAGCTGTCCATGTTCGCTTTTCCTTGATTTGTCATGAACTAACCCATATGGGTCAAGTTGGTTTGTATTGATATCTCTTGCAAATTATACTATGCATCAAAGTTCATCTTACATTGTGGATCTTGGTCCAAAACAATTTTAAGATTATGTACTTGGAGCTAATTAGATATTGGGGGTCTTTGGTAATAGATGTTAGTTGATAACTGTTAGATGATTGAGTTAGTGAGTTTGACTAGTTGGTAACATTAGCTCATTATAGAAAGATGTTTGGTAAATTAGTTGTTAGATGATAGCCGATTAAATGCAAAATGACTTTCTCAAAAAGCTGATCGAAAAGTTGCATGCTTTGAGTATCTTTTTGAATTTTAGTATTTTGGAGCAATAACCTGTTACAAAAAGCTTTTAGAGGTTAAACCATCAAACAAGCCAGAATTGAATGATAAGCTAACTATGTTACCAAACATGGCCATTATATTTTATAGAGTTAATTCCACCAGAGGTCCCTTGTCTTTGGTGGCTGAAATTGTACCGTGAATCTTGACTACAAGATATTACTAAAAATTCTACTTGATTTTATATGAATTAATAATCATACCAATTAATTAGGTTATTTATCAATAATAAATAACAAAAAATAAAAGCAGAAAAATAAATCAAGTACACGATAATTGATCACACAATTCGAACAACTTCTCCTAAGTCTGCAGGGCAACTCACGTCTATCCAATCCACTATAGATATTCACCAAAATTTACAAAGGGATGTACATACGACTAACAGTCACTACAACCAATTACAACCTTCAAAACATTCAATACAGAATTGGAGTGTGCATGCCATGTTTGACTTCACCACTTGACGTTGCTGAACCAGGTCTAGCAAGACTGTGCTACCAGGCGTGATCTTTCCAACCAATATAGAAATCAGAGTTATGAAAGTATAGTGTTTGAACAGTCCTCTTCCAAAATAGCGTCGAAGTGGGTAAAAATCAAAAGGGAAAGTGCTTCCTTTTATATCTAGAGCTTTCAACCACTTTCCCCAATATTGTAGCCATCCATTACCACAAACCTGTACAGACTTTTACCACCACAATTAATTACCATAGGATTAATAGTTATTCACTCATCTTACACGCTGACAGCTGACTTCATTAACGCATACCAATTCCATCTTGACAGTAGGTGCAACTCCATAAGCATCTTGACCGTAGGTGCAAATCCATGGGGTAGAGGACAGTCCAAGGTTTTTTTAAATTAACAACAACAAATTCAATTGTCACAAAAATTGCCAACCAATTATAGAATTAATGTGTACTAATTTATACACTAACAATCTCCCCCTTTTTTACAATTTATTTGACAAAAAAAAAAACTAGAGCATTTAACTTCGGGCAAAGTCAGGTAATTTTACTGAATTTTTATTAAAATAAAAGCCCTTAGTTTATATGCTTTTACAAAACCCTAAGAACCAAAACATTACCAATGGACTGTACTCCATCCATGTGCCCCATAAACTTTGCTGTAACGATCACCATACGAAAGAGGTCCAGAATATTCAATGCATGAGACAAGATTAGCTAATAAAGCCACAAACATTCATAAACCATGATCATTCACAGAAATGCCCCAAAAAAATTGTAAGAAACATACCAGGCCATACCAAATCAGTGAAGATGTCATACTTCTCCCCCTATCTTATTACCCAACAAAAAAACTGTCCAACCAAAACAACTCCCCCTTCGTCCCTATCGTCCATACTGTTGGTCCCGATAGGGTCCAAAGAGAGTCTAGAGGGGGGTGAATAGACTTTAATCGATTTTTCAAAGCAACTCCTTTTGGAGCGATGCACAGCGGAAATAATGTTTCGTCTTAGATAGTCTTTGCACACTTTCGTTGTAAAGATTTAGCGTTTGGTCGATATGATACGCAATGCACGAAAGTAATATAGCAGAAAGTAAAGAGATATGAAGAGAGAGATTTTTGTAGTGGTTCGGCTGTTAACGAAGCCTATTCCACTTCTCTTTCACAACTCGCGAAAGGGTTTGCACTATCACTCCTAGTACAAACTACTTCGAGCTGGCTTCCTTGATCACTAAGCCAGACAGCGACTTGATAAGATTTTCAACTCCTCGAGTTTACTCCGCCTCTATCAACTTCTTCCTAAGTTGAGATGTTGGAAAGATAATCTGATGTTTCTCCAACTGGTTGAAGCCTTGTCTTGAAGTTTGGATGAATCTTCACTTGAGAAATTACAAGACAGCTTCAAGTTGTGAAGTATGAAAAGAATGAGCCTTTGAAAAACTTCACAAGATCACTGGTTATGAAAAGCTTTTTAAGAGATGGAACTGTTTTAAGAGCTTTTCTTTGGATGACAAGAGTGAAATAAACACATTCTTCAATGGTGAAGAGATGTATTTATATATGTGGAAAAATCCACCCGTTGGAGGGAGATGAAGATTTCAAACCTAATAACCAGTGAGTATTAACTAGTGGGCATTGATCATTTAATGCACTTGAATTGTACTGTGTAGCCGTTGGAGCCAAAAACATTATGACTTTTGTCCTTGTTCTCTGACAAGATGGTGCAAGACTTTTAATGCTCCTTGTCTTTTGTGAAGATCATTCCTAGGACACATTTTGTCCGAATGATTTGCCCATCTGAGTCATAGACAACATTCTCGTTGCTTCACTTAAATGAAGGTTGTATTTTACAAGTCTGTCTTTGACTTGTTTACTCAGAGACGATGGTCGAAAGATTGACTTTATCTTTCGTCTCTTCTCTTTGACGGAAGTCCTTTTTGTCAAAAGAAGTCTTTCCGAGACTTGCTCAATCCAACTTTCACCTGGAAGCATCTTTCTATCATCTTGTCATCTTCAAGTCATCATGTAGACCTATTATGCTAGTCTCGAGTAAGATTCGTGCATCTCATGGTGTGAATCAAACGTTGAGTTATAGTAATTTTCGTTTGTCATAAGATACTTATCTATGATAAGAAAAGTAGGAGTCTACAATCCTAGACAGTTTGGTATCATCAAAATCTAATTACACTTGTTCCTAACACATACTACTCCCCATTTTATGCCAAATAAATGACAAAGAGAATGGTGAACATCACAGTGGAAAGAATTAACATGCAGACGGGGTGCATGACCTAGAAGAATCGGAATCATCATCATCATCCTGTCCAGAGGCAGCGAGCATGTGAGCATGAATAGCTTCAAGCCGGGAGATTTCTAAAAGCTTTTCCAATCCTAACAGAGTGGCTTGTTGAGAGGCAATGGAGCTACGAAGCTGAGATATAGAGGCTTGCAGTGTGACAACAATTTGACGTCGAGCAAGCAAAGTAGGCTGCTCCTTAGGCACAATGGCAATGTTAGAAACAGGCGCAGATTCAGTCTCGGAGAAGGATGCCGGTGCGGAGACAGGTGGTGTAGGGACCAAAGCAACATGTGGTGCACTCAACGAATCACGATCATCATAGTGAAGACTTTGAGCAAGTCGATCATCAAATACATAAGTATTGTCAATTTTGGTCATGACTTCATCCTTGTAAGGTTTGAACCCCTAAGCTATCAGCACACCATAGATTAAGTTTGGATAAGGAAGATAAATCTTAGTTTCTTTCTTCTTCACAAAGGTCATGATATGGGAAAAAATAATCTCGCCAAGATAAAAAGTTTGACAATTTCGGATCTTGTAGAGTAAGAGGGCAAGCTGTTTCGAAACTAGATGAAGCCGTACAACTGGGATCCAATTCGCCGATGCAAGACGAAGTAAAACGGAATAAACTGTAGTCAATTCTTGAGCTTTTAACCCAGTGTTCGGCCAGGCAATCTGTCGATTGTGTGTTAGGCAGCAGCTAACAGATTTACACTGGGATCAGCAGACTTGGCCTAAGCTGGTCGATCCAAAAAGGCATTGATCTCCGTAGGCCCAAAGGGATACCACCTGTTTCGAATAAAAACTTGATGGAAATGAGAAGCTCCATCAGTGAATGTCTCCATATTCAAATTTGTGTAGAACTCGACCGTTAACCAAGATGAATAAGATGTGATTGTAGTGAGACTGGTGAGCAACTATTGATCACGCAGAAGAGGAATATAATGATGTTCCACTTTGTGATTAGTTCTTCTTCATTGATTGATTTCTCGACGATCAACTCCCGTTTGGAATGCACCACCCAGTCATCCTTCAGTGTAGTAGAAAGCAGGATAGGCCGGTAAATTTTTTTGGATTTTGGCCGAGAACTTGACAGGGCTGATGCAGAGGCCGAGGTTGGAGCTGCCAAACCACCTCCTGTACGAGAACGCGTCATTCTCGGTGGAAGAATAGAGCTCCTTCGTTGGTGTTTAGGTGCAGAAATAATTTCCACCTCATCAAGGGAAGCCTGTTTCCTCTTCGCAGTACCTGAAAGATGAACTTTTTCTTTTCCTTTTTGGGAAGAATTTTCCAGGGGTACAGTAATACTAGGCACAAACTCTTGTGTATCAACCACATGAACAGGAGCATTCACAGACACAAGAGGTAACCTGCTATCAGGTGAAATTACACACTTTTTTTTTTTCGTTTAGTGGCTTAATTACATTTTCAGGTTACGTTCAGTGGCCAATTTGAACATTATTGCAAAAATATATGTTACAGCTGAACGCGCAAAAAGAATAAAATTAAACAAAACAACGTTGTTTTTGAAATGTGGTCCACACAACTGTGTGGACACGATCCGTAATAACTATTGGCCAACAGGGTTAGGGCCACCCTCACCACCCATTGTTCACTTTGGGTGTTTGGTAGGATGGAATTGTAATTCCATTCCTACCAAACTCCATGAAATTACAATTCTATGGTTTGATTGGAGAGAATTACAATTCTAAGGAATTACAATTCTCTCCAACCATGGAATTGCAATTCCTAGGATCCTCCTAGAAATTGCAATTACACACTTTATAGAATTGTAATTTAATGATAAATTATCATTTTATCATTATTATTATTATTATTATTATTATTATTATTATTATACACGGACATTTTAATCTTTATTCACTCCTTTCGTTTCAATTCTCACTCATTCTATTCCTTTCTACCAAACAATTTAATTTAAATTATCATTTTTTCCATAAAATTACAATTCCTTTCCACCCTAATTCTTTCCTTCCAACCAAACGCCTGTGGTGATTTGAGTTTAGTTCTTAAAATTTTATTTAAAGAAAAATATTCTTAGGCATATTTTAGAGATCGTGACTATATAAATTAATTGAACGAAATTTTTTATATTGATCAACTTGTATTTTAAATAAATGATGTAATTTCATCAAATAGATGGCATGGATTGTAAAGTGAATTAATTCTTATCAGCACATTCTTAATTAGTTGACCACGTGGTACAAGAGTCATCGCCTAGTGACTACAAATTTATCAGGTTACTAAAAAAAAAAAAAATAATAAATAAATTTTAAAAAAAATGGTGTAAACATTTAGTGCACACCATTTAAATTAAAGTACGATTTGGTGTAAACAATGTGTGGAACGTAGCACTCCACTTTTGTTACAATATTTTAGAGCCAAAGAAAATTATGAAGCACTAGAAGCAGCTGTTATCCACAAGTTGCATAACTTCCAAGGCTGTATATTTCTGTCGCATTCTACCCAGCAAACTTGATGTTACTTCAAAATTCTGCACAATTTTCTTACACCCACACCACATTACTCATTCCATACCACATAGTATCTCCCATGGCAGCCAATTCCCATTATTTCACACTGGCTTTTGCAGCCCTTCTCCTTCTGGTAGCATGGGCGTCTCAAGCCACTGCCCGTACCCTCGAAGAACCTTCCATACTCGAGCACCATGGAAGGTGGATAGCTCGCCATGGGCATTCATACAAATATCATCATGTCATGAAGGCAAAGCGATTCAAGACTTTCGAGTCTTTCAATAATGTCAGTTCGAATCAAGTTCGTAACCCTTTTGACCCGTGGAACAACAACGCTGGTGGTCAGACTACAGATCCTGAAGAAGAAGAAGAAAACTGCGGTATGTAACTATTAACAATGACACACTACTTTCTGTTCTCAAGTTATATGAATATAGTTGACTTAATGTTATAGCATATATAATATATAAACGTAAATATGTAGTTCAACTATATATAAATTTAGATTTTTAGTTGAGATGGAGCGAAGGCTTCAGTTTGATATATATAAGAGCCAACTCCATGCATAAAATTGAGACTAAGCTAGTTGGAGTGTTTGGAATAGCTAGTTGTTAGTTAATTGGGATAGTGAGTTTGACTAGTAGATATCATTAGCTGATTGTAGAAAAATGTTTAGTAAATTAGTTGTTTGCTGATAGCTGATTACATACAAAATAACTTTCCCAAAAAGATGTTTGAAAAAGCTGTTTTGACCAATTTTTTGAATTTTAACGTGTTGGAGCAATAAACTGTTACAAAAAGCTAATTAATCAAACACTTATATTGACTGTTTAACCAAGTCAAATAGCTAATAGTGATCAAATAAGTCAAAATTAACTAATAAACTATCAATATATGTTACCAAATATGGCCTATGTGCCCACATGTTGCTTGGAGACCGCAAAGTAATCGACTGGCACAAATATATATAGGACATGTAGTGCAGTCCAACTATCAGTTTCGACTTTTAGGTGTAATGGAACGTATGTTTGAATTACTAATTATATGCCTATTGGCAATATGATATAATGTACAGATGAAAATGACAACAGAAGAGGGGATTGGCTGCCGTTTCTGATATCGGCAGTGCTCTTCGTGCTGCTTCAACCGGGTCTGATTGTCCAGATTCCGGGAGAGAAACGGTTGATTGAGTTCAGAACCATGAAGACCAGTTTCAAGGCTATATTTGTTCACACTTTGATATTCATCTTTATCTGTGTTATTATCATCTTGATCTTTCATGATCACATCTGATCTATCTGTACTTGGGTTCTTCTAATAAATCTGTAATGTTGCCACTATTTTTCTATTTTTAATTTTTTTTTGAAATAATGGTCAATTGGACATCCAATTGAAAATGAAAAAAAAAAAAAAGTTAATTTTCTTTTTTAAAATAATAATAAATTAAAATTTATATATATATATATATATATATATATATATATATATATATATATATATATATATATATATATATATATATATATATATAACAAGGTCTTCAATGGGAGACAAGCTGGTGACCTTTTATTTTATTGTATTTTATTAAATTTTATTTTTAAATTTTACGGGTTCACAATTTGGTACTGTAAATTACTTGGGATGAATTGCATAATTTTTAAGTGTCGAATAATTTAATTGTAATTTTGTCACTTGAATAATATAATTACATTTTCGCGTTTAATTCGATGAAAAACTTGATCCTTATTCCTTTCAGGAAAACACTATTTCTCCTCTCCAATTTTTTCCCATAATATTTTTCTCACATGATGTGTCATGAATTGGTTAATCCTAGGTAGGTTGTTTTTTTTTTTTGGAAAACCCACATAGTTTAATTAAACACTAAAGTTACTAATGGAACATTCAGTATGTAAATTGTGAACGTTTAATATATAAATTGTATATTTTGACCCGGGTCCATGGCATAAGTATGCACAATGTTTGAACTCAAATAAATAAGCCCAGGCTTGAATCTATTATTTGAAGTGAGATTTTTGTGGAGCATATAACTATTAATGTGCAATCTAGTTATCAGGTTAGACTTTTAGTTGAGATGGAGCATATGCTTTAATTTGATATTAAAGTCATGTCAAAGGTCATGAGTTTGAATCTCTCACGTATACCTATTAATATGCAATCTAGCTACCAGCTTTGGTTTTTAATTGACATGGAGCACATGTTTTAATTATTTTAACTCCAATGGTCCAAGGCTATTGTTGAATATGTATGTTTTATTTTAATTAAAATTTTACATTGATAATAAAATTAATTTTAATAGTGACTATCGAGTAGCTCGGAATTTCAAACTCAAGATTGTTTTTTTTTTTTTTTTTTCTATAATAATAAAAATAAACATTTTTTTTTGAATGCTAATAAAAATAAACATAAATAGCTTAAAGTCTCAATAAAAAAATCGAAATAATAAAAACTTAATGCGAAAGAAAAAATAATAGTTAGTAATAATTTGTAAAATAATTTATTCACTATTCCTTCAATAAAGATTGATTATATTATTTTAAAAATGTTCTTGTTATTTTTTCAAAATAAATAATTTTCAAGTTAGAAATTATAATAAAAATATGTAATTAGATAAATAATAATTTATATATGAACATATATAATTGTTAATTTTAATTTTATGATTTTTAGGGTTATGAGTATCGATTGTTATACCATGAACCAGGGTCTGCTTTGCATTGTGAAACATGGTACAAAACGATATTCAGATTATATATCTGCAGTTAACATATTATGTACCTTTTGTTAATAAATTTCATATCTATTACAATTAACATATTGTGTACTTGCAGTTAATAAATTATGTACATATTACAATTAACATATCATGTACTTCCAATTTATTTATAGGTACATAATATGTTAATTGCATGTACATAATCTGAATGTCGTTTTTGATGAAAGTCCACAATGCAAAGCGAACCATGGTTCATGGTATAATTTGCCTATGAGTACAGTAAAGGTGTCAAATGGGGGAGTTTGGACTGGTTCGGCTCGCCACTGAACCATTTATCTTTTAGACCAGACCGACCTAGTCCAATTAAAATTTAGACTAGGCTTGGTCGGGTCCAAAAATAAAAATTAAAGTTCAACTAGGTTTATAGGCCTAAAATAAAAAATAAAAAAATAGTAAAAATTATAAATTGACTAATTTAAGTTATGTACTCTATCTAAATAGTTTTACAAGTTAATATATTTATTTTCAACTATTTAACTTAAGAATTATTACAAAAAAATAAAGAAATATATAACTAATAATGTAATACCATTAATAAGAATAAGTTTACAAATTGCTACTATTAACTACGTAGTAAGTAATAAGGGTAATTTTTTAATTTGAAACAAATAAAATTTTTACAACTTTAAAATATTTTAAGGTAGTAATTACTAATCATCAATTAGTATGCTAGTTAGATAGTTAACTAGCTAAATAGTAAATATGTAAGAAATTAATAGGCATAAAATCAATATCACAATTTCTAATGTGATAATCTCATTATTCATTACTCTATTAGAATATATATATATATATATATATATATATATATATATATATATATTATACTTTTAAATGTACGTCCTAACGGGTTAATGCGGTCCATGGACCAAAAATTAAAGTCCAACTTTGTCCATAGTATAAAATCGACTAGCCCTAGTCCGTCCATTATAACAAATGGACCGAATTGGGCCAATCTAAATGGGTCAGGCTTGTACTAGAGTTCAAGTTAATCCATCTATTTGACACCTTTAGTGTACGACCATACATTATCTTTTATCGTTCCGACCTAGCCAATTTGGCCCAAAAATTTAATTGGATTGAGCAAGCCAAATCCAAACAGTGCAAATTATATCGGGCAAATTATATCGTGCACTGCGGTGCATAATTGATTATGCACCGAGCTTTAAAACGACGTCATTTTATTTAATGAAAAGATACGGCACCCGTTTCGCGCCGTTCCGCAAAAAATAACTATGTTATTCAGTTTCATTTTGTATACACTGCAGTTTCAGTTCAACACAACTACAGTTTCATTTCGATATAACTATAGTTTCATTCTACATTTATACACTCAAATATGTGAAAATGTTATTTAATTTTATTTTATATACACTATAGTTTCATTAAAACACAAGTACATGATCATTTCGATATAACTACAGCTTCATTGCACAATATACACTCAAATATGTGAAATGTTATTCAGTTTCATTTTATATAAACTGCAGTTTCATTTCACCACAACTACAGTATCATTTTGATATAACTGCAGTTTCATTTGATAATATATAAAATAATACGTGAGGCAGTGTCAGTTTAGATACACTGTAGTTTCAGTAGGTAATTAACACACCAAAAAATGCGCGCTCCGTTAACAGTAACGGCGCGCCGTTTCTTTAAACGATGCCGTTTTGACCGCGGTACACACACATGTACCGCGGTCCACGATATAATGACCGATTATATCGTGAGCCTTGATCTAGATTATGTACATGCAGCTAATATATTATGTACCTTCACTTAATAAATTATGTACATATAAATAAACTAAATGTATATAATATGTCTTGGTCCCAAGAAGCATAAAGTCTAGAGGGGGAAAGAATTGAATACACTTTCTAATACCTCTGTAAACTTTTTAAAATAGCTCAAAGTGAGTTAGGATTTTAAAATCAAGGTTAAGAAACTAGTTTCCTAGCCGCAGAAGTCTTTTAGATTGCCTGAAAGAGATGTAGCTTAGATTTGCATTTTGAATGTGGTTTTTTCTTTTTTGATCAGACCACGAGTTGTCCTGAGCAGATCCTAACTGTAGAAGGCGCATTTTAAGCTCGACCATAGTCAGACTAATCCCTGTTCGCACCATACCATCCCAATTTAGAGACAAAGTGCTGGATAGATTGATTTTTTCATACAAGGGGGTTCGTACATTTTGAATGTGTTTGGGTGTGTGTAACTACGGGTTAGTTCACATTTAAAAACAATAAACAATGATATATAATGACATTAGGAAATTTTTGTAGTGGTTCAGAATAATTTTCCTACTCCACTCTTTTCCTTAACTCTAATGAGGTTTTTGTAACGGCTATGAGAGTTGGGATCACCAATGGAAGGGGAGAAGGCAGTGGCTAAGGAACAACAGCAGAAATAAGCATAAAACGATGTCGTAGGATACTACCGTTATGTCGTTAATAAAAGAGGGTTAAAATGACGGCGTTTGAAGAAGTCGTTGAAGAAGCAGTTGTCCCCTTTTTAGACGGCACCTTTTTGTCCTTTCCAGCTATGCGTTAGTTAGCAGCCGTTGAGCTGAATTGTTGAATTGCGGCATATTGTTAGAGGTAGCTTGTATTTAGTCTACAGGTGTAGAATGGGGTTTTTATGCTTAGAATTAATACATCAATTTCCTTTTTCTACCTTCTTCTTTCCCTTAACCCTAATTTCTCTCTACTTCTTCCCCAATTTCTGATTCACACTGCCAGTTCCATCACAAGTGGTATCAGAGCCCACATGGAGGATCGTTTGAGAATGCTGGAAACTACAGTCACAGAGCTAAATAGCAAAATTGACGAGTCTGTAAACGAGCTGACCACCCAGTTTGGGAGCTTAAAGGAAGAGCTACTGTAGCTTTTCAGACTCAATAGGCCAGTAGTGCCTATTATGGACCACTCCCCTGGGCAATCGTCTATGCAAGGGCAGGTTCCAGAAGGACCCCCACTGGATCTAGGAAGGAGAGCTGACAAGGCTCCTGTCCAGGAGGTGGATGGAGTCGTTGCTGATCATGGTATTGAAACACCAGGAGGAGTGAACACTGTGGAGGGATCTAATGAAGAGTGGATGCGCAGGAGAAGAAGCACGGATGCCATCCGAGGAGGTAGGCAACACCTGGAATTTCTCAGGTATAAAAGTGAATTCCCTGCGTTTGATTATGGCAATCCTAGGCATTGGGTTCTTAGATGTGAGAAATTTTTTGTGTTTTCCCACATACCTAGACATGATATTGTAAACGTGTTGTTTGTGCACCTTACTGGAAGGGTAGGTTTGTGGTATGAAGGGTATATGAACAGCCTGAGGGAAGAGTTTCATTGGCCTGCTTTTGATGAGGCTGTGTGTAGGAAGTTTGGGGATAGTGGAGTCTCTCTAATGGAGGACTTTTCTTCTTGCAAACAGTGGGGAAACATCAATGAGTTCACTGATGAATATGAAGGGTATAAGAGCATGTTGTTGAGGGCTTACTCCTACCTGACTGACCAATACTTCCTGGAAAATTATGTTGCTAGGCTTAAGGAC